TCAATTAAAGGCGTCCCTTAATTTTTGAGATAGCGTGTCCACATGGACTATAGTTTCTGTGCAAAAGTGAGGCAAATGTTCTGTTTAGACTGCGACTGCAGCCCATTGCCGAGTTTCTCTCCGTGTTGACACAAGACACTGTTGCTTGAGAGAAAAACAATATTTCGTTTAAATCTTCTGTCTAGTTTGTCGATTTTAAATGGTGAATCATTAGGTCACAATTCAATTAAATTCGCTCTCTTCATTTTGGAGAGAGTGTGTCGACATGGACTATAGTTTCTGTACAAAACCCTTACTTTTGGATCAAATTTGGCCAAACAATTGACTTTTCTCCAAACAACTCAGAAATGTCTTTGGATGCCAGAGAATCATCAATCGACCTTTAAACGCTAAAAATATTGAAGATTTAAAAAAAAAATATTAATAATTTTCACTAATTTTGACCATTAGAAGTGACTCCGGGAATCTGGAATTGAATTTTTCGCGGTTAGTTCACTGTATTTCCTTAAATCATATTAAATTTATTCTTCAATGGTTCCCCTTGACTTGATGTTGGTAAAATGTACGACAGTGCTCATTGTCGTTTTTGTTTTTGTTGTATTAATTTTTGTCTTCGAAGGTTTCTGTCGAATTTCAAATATATTGTCTCGTATATAACAGTCAATTATGGGTCGCAATTTAAAATCAGTGCAATGTGTTTTACTGGAGTTATCGTCTCCACAATGTGGGCTTAGTTTTTGCTCCATTAAAAGTGACGCCGAATTCGAATTGAATTTTTCGCGGTTAGTACACTGTATTTCATTAAATCACATTAAATTTATTCTTGAATGGTTCCCGTCAATTTTCAAACCATCGATATTCTATATCCCAAACAATTATTGAACGAAATTTCTATTCAGTGTACTATGTTGTTCTTGAGTTATTGTCTCCATAAAGAGTGCTTTATTTTTGTTCCATTTAAAGTAACTCGAATTCGAATTGAATTTTTTGAGGTATGTACATAGTATTTCCTTAAATAATATTGAATTTATTCTTCAATGGTTCCCGTAGATTTTCAAACCATTTCTGTCCTATATCCCAAACAATTTTTGAACGAAATTTCAATTCAGTGCACTGAGTTGTTCTTGAGTTATCGTCTCCACAAAGTCCATTACTTGTGACAACTTCGTTGGGCAGATCGTATCCACGTTGACTGAAGTCTTTGCGGTTTCAGTATTTATGTAGTGCGCCCTCTGTTGGAAGAAGTTGATGTTGGTAAAATGTACGACAGTGCTCATTGTCGTTTTTGTTTTTGTTGTATTAATTTGTGTCAGTTGTATAACAAATCAAAGGTTTCTGTCGAATTTCAAATATATTGACTAGTATATCACAGTCAATTATGGGTCGCAATTTCAAATAAGTGCAATGTGTTTTACTGGAGTTATCGTCTCCACAAAGAGTGCTTTATCTTTGTTCCATTAGAAGTGACGCCGGGAATCTTGAATTGAATTTTTTCACGGTTAGTACACTGTATTTCATTAAATCATATTAAATTTATTCTTCAATGGTTCCCGTCAATTTTCAAACCATCGATATTCTATATCCAAAATAATTATTGAACGAAATTTCAATTCAGTGTACTGTGTTGTTCTTGAGTCATCGTCTCCACAAAGAATGCTTTATTTAAAGTAACTCGAATTCGAATTGAATTTTTCGCGGTATGTACACAGTATTTACTTGAATAATATTGAATTTATTCTTCAATGGTTCCCTTAGATTTTCAAACCATTTCTGTCCTATATCCCAAACACATTTTTGCAATTCAGTGCACTGAGTTGTTCTTGAGTTATCGTCTCCACAAGGGGTGCTTTATTTTTGTTCCATTAGAAGTGACTACGGGAATCTCGAATTGAGTTTTTCGCGGTTAGTACACTGTATTTCCTTAAATCATATTAAATTTATTCTTCAATGGTTCCCGTCAATTTTCAAACCATCGATATTCTATATCCCAAATAGTTATTGAACGAAATTTCCATTAAGTGCACTGTGTTGTTCTTGAGTTATCGTCTCCACTAAGAGTGCTTTATTTTTGTTCCATTAGAAGTGACTCCGATTTCGAATTCAATTTTTCGCGGTATGACAGAGCATGACTCAAGCACACAAGCTTCACTGATGGACTAATCACGATCTCAAAACCTCACCAAGAGGTTGAACAAATAACTGAACAAGTTCAAGTCAGCTGCAGAAACCCAGACGAAATAAATGAAGTATCAGTCCGATGATTTAGCAGGCTACAGTCACCTGGCGTGCAGGGGCAACTCAGTGCACGGCTTCACGCCCACGGCCGGGCGAAGCAAACAAAATCGAAATGACGAAAAGATGCAAAAAACTCAAAAGACCACTGCAGCCAGTTGTATAACAAAACAAAACTCCTGTGCCGTCCTGGAGACCGTTCACCAAACGATGTTCAATTATGAACGAAACACCCACGGAAATACAAGCGAAAAACGAAATATTCCGGGAGAAATTTATTTTTGATGAAGCGGTCTCAAAAAGCTATGAGGCACGGGGTTTGAAAACACTATCAAAGCGCCATGGATGACCATTAAAGACAGGCGTTTTGAATGAATTCATGGGCAGTGATAAATTGTTTTGATGCAAGAGTCAATTTATTTTGCCACGAAGCTATACCATTCACAATAGTTTACGAAAGAGGTAGCATCGAAGGATGAAAAGGGATAAGAAATAGCCCACGTTCAATTAATTACGAATAATATTAAAGCCCTTTTTAAAGAAGTGAATCTTCTTTTACAGTTAACAAACACCTGTTAACACCAAACATCCCATCTAACATCCTATCCAAGTTGTGCAAGAAAGATATGCATAATGGCCGAGTATTTTACACAACACAATTTCCTGTTTACATTAATACAACAATTATCATTTTCAAAGGAATATAGTATTCTGTCTGATGACATCCTCAGCGACAGAAATAAAATCACATTTAACCCTAAAGGATTCCGCGGATTCCGCCCCCCCCCCCTAAGATCTCGGCCATCGAGTGACGAAAAATTTTGAAACTCAGCACATGCATAGAGCAACTCTTCCTAAACATGCCCAAGAAAATTCATGACTATAGGTCAAAGGGTTTTGGAATTATGACAAATTAATTATTCATATGTATGAAGGGCAATTCTGCTCGGTGTACACGACGTATATGCGAAAATTCAGTTTTCACGGCGCGTAGCGCTGGAAAATTTTTCGCTACGTGCCAACCCGTGGTCCGATTTTTACGTTTTTTATTTTTATTTTTATAATTTTTATTTTTTATTTTTAAGTCATAACAGGCCCCTTTCGGGTTAAGCATCTTTCCTAAATAATAGAACCATTAAAGCTTTTACACCCAACTATGATTATGGTGCCAACTATATAGTTGGGACGAAGTGATATAGTTGGGGCGTAACATATGGCTAGGCTATTTATGATTGCATTGGTACGTTGCCATTATACATGTAGTGTCCGTTCTGGAATGCAAATATAACGATCACACCCAAAATGCAGTTCATCGCAGCTTTCTGAACAAGCACGTTAAGGCCAAAAAAAAAAGTCTCCGGTTTCTGGTATGCGCGCGCGTCGCCGTAGCCATGCGCGTCGGCAAAATGAAAAGGTATTTTTTTTTCAATGAAAGATGATGTCTCAAGACCGCCAAACTCACTGGTGTGACTGGAATCCTGCTGCTGCACAATTTTAACGTGTTTTTAGATAGGGTTATGATCGAGAATAAGCTTTATGTGGCCTCTCTGGACTCCCATATATTTGCACTAAATTTAGTCGGGCACCATTTGCAGTCATCAGCCGACATTTGAAGCAAAAAAAAACCGTAAAAAAAAAAAAAGCCGCGTCGCCGCACCACTTTTTGGGCAAGCTCCATACCAGAAACCGGAGACTTTTTTTTGGCCTAATCAAACCTAAATGTTGGTGGCTAACCCTCAACGTATGTTTTATTTGAAATCACGATAAAAAGTGTCCCAATTTAGAAAGTATAACCTTCTCATGTTTTCTCTGGGGCTTGTGTTCCACCCTTTCCAAAAAAAATATCCTAGGATGCATAAAATGTTCCCATATCCAAGCGCTGCTTCAACGATACATGCAGGATTAATATTTATGGATATTTTAAAAGTGGATTTTACCCAACATCACGGATATTCGATATCCAAAAAAGAACAAAAACATTACAGACATGAACAAACTAAGATTACAAACATAGATTTGTTTTTAAAACACATCACATGGAGATAATTATTAAGTCCGTGCTCGAGCTCATAATTTGTGTCATTTCAATGACGAGAAGAATTTAGATTTTTATGCGTTCTGTGAACAATTCAAATGTGCCGATCGTTTAATATATGTCTGTATTGACGGATCGAGTATAGATATTTTTTGTTTCATTTTGATTTCAGTATCACTCTTTAAATTCACATTGAGCAGACTTCAGACGTGAACAGCACTGTCACGGAATCAATGGAAAAACTGGCTGGAACACGGACCCATGCAGTATTGTTAACAAAAAAAATCGACAATCTTACCAGGAAAGAAGAAAACTGAATTAATGTCGAAAGCCAGAAGCGTAAATCCCAGAGGGGAAGGGGGGGGTATATATCCCCCACACCTTTTGACCAGGGGGATGGGCTACCTTTTGACCAGGGGGGATGGGCTATGGAATAGCCCCCCCCCCCCCACACTTTTTCGTGAAAGCGGATCTCGAGGTATTTGTTGAACATCCCAACAACCCAAATTTACTCAATAGCACTGAAACAAAGTACAAATTTAAAGCTTTAAAAATATGGGGTATTTTGGATTTAGTACATATTGATATACATAATCCTGAAGAGCGCCCCTAGTGTAATGTGGTGTCCAGCCCCCCCCCCCCCCCCCCCCCCCCCCCGCTTTTGGAATTTCCACGGCCAGGCAATTTGTTGATTGTGGTCATCTCCCGTGTCCCCCCCCCCCCCCCCCCACTAATCGCCGGCACAGATTTACGCCACTGGTCAAATCTTTCTTTATTTAATCCGAATAAAGCCTTGCTGTCGGTTAACCACTGACGATCTGCATGGAGATATTAAAAGAAGAACAAAAACCATGATTTCTCCAATGACTAACAATTTTGAAGTTTCAGAGGACATGTCGTAAACAAAGATGTTAAGCAACACCAGACCAATTATACTGGGTGTGTCAAGAAAAAGGAGCCCAAATAGCAGGACCATTTTTGTAATGAAGTTCTGCAGAAATAGTACTTTCAAAATCTAGGATATAAAAGCTCAATTAATAAGCTTTCCTTTAGTACAAGAATCATAAAAATCACTCATGTACTTTTCAAGTTACGGGATTTGAAACACAAACAATTCGAAAACAAAACAGACGAAAGCAATTCACAAACAGACATCCCTATGTGAATTGTTTTCGTTTTGCTGAAAGAACAATACCTTTTTTTGTGATCCGTGGACATAACTTTAAAACGGTGGATGTGTTTAAAATCGAGTAACTTGAAAAAGTACATGAGTGATTTGAATTATTCTTATACTAAAAGAAAGCTTATTAATTGGGCTTTTATTTCTTAGATTTTGAAATTGCTACATGCAGAACTTCAGTACAAAAATGCAGAACTTCAGTACAAAAAGAAATCCTGTCATTTCATACTGAGAGAAATGACGGGGAAAGTTCACTAAATCTACAATAATGGGCTTACCGTTGTTTAATTCGTTCGTGTTGACTGCCAGTATACCTAGCGTCCGATCATTACCATCTGCAACGGCCATTACGACACCTCGTATATCTACTACATTGGCTATTCTTTGTGCAAGCTGAAACAGAAACCAACATAGTGATCGAATGACTCGTACAGAAATATTTGTGTGGACAACCTGTTGAAGGAAGCTTTGAAGAGACTGTCCATGTTTACACGGACCCAGGATAAATTACCATACAGTAAAAGCCTCAAACTGTTTGTTTTTATACCACAGAAAAGAGACTTGTTCCAAATTTCAGATATCGGTTTTCTCAGAATAATGATCTTGAAAAGATATAACTCTGGACTATCGGATTCCGGCCAATTTCAAACACCCCCCCCCCTAAAAAAAATCATTCAATTTATTTCTAGACCCTTTCAACCAGTTCTATTTGAAAATTAATACATTTAGTCCCCAAGAAGAGTCGTTTGCTTCCCTAAGTTTAGCTATAGAATTGACATGACAAATAGTTAGTTCAACTTCAAATGGTATTCATTCATTCCAATTTGTCGGAGACAAGGGCGGATCCAGAACACAATTTTGGGGGGCCAAAAAAAAATTTTGGTCCCCCCAAAAAGTGGGTCCAATAAATTACGGCGTGGGGTTCGGGGCCCGCTTAAGGGCCCCGAAAAAATTTTGGATTCTAGATGCTCTGTGGTGCGATCTGAGGCAATTTCTGACCACTTTAACCAATGTTTTTTTTTGAGGAAAAGATGGTGATGTACTCATTGCCTGCCTTTATTGCGATTTTACATAAAAAAAAAAATGGTTTCGTTTTTGGGGGGGCCATGGCCCCCTTTGGCCCCCCCCCCCCTGGATCCGCCCTTGATCGGAGATAGTATATCACGAGGTTTATCATGCATTGAATTTCCTGAATGGACACACATACTTTATTCACATGTTTGCGTTCAAATTTGTTTCTGTGTTATTTGCATTCAGATTCCAACATGTTCCCGGTGAACAGAAATTAACCAAAATAATAAAACGACCCGTTCAAAGAATAACAAGGCAAATAAACAAGAAAACATCTTGGTTTCGTTTCCATTGAAGATTCATTAGATTCAATTTTTGATTTTCAGATTTTTTGTCTTACTGTCTTCCGATTCAAAACAATGCAAACGAAAATTATTAATTCATACAAACAAAAGGATAGGACTGATTAAATAAGCAGCAAACGCCGATAGCAGCGCCCAATGAACGGAGAATTGTACACCCGGTGTGTAAATAATCAATCCTGATGTCATCAGTATTGATAAATGAACCCCTGACAGTAACAAGTTATTGCCTATAAGGCTATAAATGAAATAGAAACTTTACAAAATCTTACGCTATTCGACAATTGCCAAATATTTCATTAAAAGTAATTGGCAAAAAGTAAACTTATGGATGACAATGTCACCTTGAATGCATTTCAAAGAAAATAGAATAACTGCAACGAAAAACTGTGTGCACAAAAAAAAAAACGAAATGTAATTTTTCAATTCAAGAAAATTTCTTGAATATGAAAGATTCTGTATGAAAATGATCAAACCTTAACTGAAATTTGCAAGAAAAACAACAGCATTCGCCCGGGCAGCATAAACAGAAACACATCTTTTCAATAATTCCTAAGCTTTGATTCATGTCGTAGTGCCAACCCGGCTCAAATATTTTTTCTTTTTACAAAATTCTTATTAAATACCAATGAACTTACACTTCTTCACTATCTCGCGAGATTCCAGCTCTTGCACCAACTCCTCATCAGCAAGAAAGTCTGCATGACATTAAAAAGGGGTTTTGGTGCTGAATTCATGGATTGCACTTAAAGATAACGTGAATTGCACCTAAGGATAACAATGACCTAATCTTCACATATATTGAATAACAAAACCAACGGGTAATGTGTCATAGTGTTTGATAATTTGAAAATAAACCGAACAAAAATATATACATATTTTGTTATTAAAAACCTTGGAACATGCAGGTTTAGGGGGAAATCCACAAAAGCCACAACTAATCATCTTAAAGCCCTCTTTAAAGACAGTGTTTAAGCTAAGTTTTATTTTTCTAAATTCCAATAAAGATGGAACATCATCAGAACTTTAGTAGAGCGATTTAAGGCAATGTTGACAATAAGAGTTCTCTCCTCTACAATGAAAACTTAAACGTTCATTTCAATATGTTTATATAGACTATAATCAAAATTATCAAAAATCGAATCAAATACATTTACTCCAAGCATGACATACGATAGGCCCACGGGGCTGTGCGAATGTGGTTATAAGGACACTATGCTACATGTCGGAACCGTAAGAATAATGGAACATATTAACTTACCGTCCGTCTCTGCCAAACCGAAGACACATCCAACGACCATCAGGAGAAGCAGGCACATGTAAACCTTCATTCTGGCTAATCTAGAAAGTGAGGGAGAAAACGAATGACAGTAAGAAACTGGCAATGATATGGTTGTATCGCAATGTAAGACGACGCGTAAACAAGTGCGAGCATGTAACATAAAATTATGTCATTCCTTTTTTCCCCGCAGATTAATTTGGTTGTTGCGCATTTTGTACTTTTCATGAAGTTCGCTCAGAAGCAGCAGTAAAAGTATACATAACGCGTATATATCACTGTCGTTTTTATACATGTAAAGTTATATTAACGCACATCCGTGACAGATTGTCGTTAATCATCAACAAATGTAATACTGCCGGGGGGGGGGGTTCTTTTCAAGCAACTGACATATCAAATCTGGCCACATTTATCCAAAGCTTACATTTCAGGTTGAAACAGACTTGAAAACCAAAGCAAAGTCAGGAGGCGGAAATGCACTGGATGCTTTCAACTTGATGTCTACTGAACGAATGCTCCACAACAGCGCCGAGTACACGTCTTTGTATAGTAGCTGGGTTCAAATGTCACATACCCGTCATCTATTGGCAGTTTTGTTGAAACACGTAGGCCTACATCTACAGACGTTTCAATTAAAGACCACGTGACTCTAGGGGCGGTTGTTTATGTTTGAACCAATCATCGTAAACATCGTAAACACAAACAAAACAAACACCCCTCCCCTCCAAAAAGAAAAGAAGTTCGCCAGTGGACCATTATTATGCGTTACTCATTACTTATGCATTAATCATAAAATATAACTAGTACAAGCATGGGCGCATATAGGCGGTTATCGGATGTAAGAAGTAACGATCATTGGTACATGACAGAACGGGGAGAAATGGAGTCAAAGTGCGAGTCCAAAAAAATATACACTTTTAAAATTGGCCGTAGTTTTATTCTGTAGCAATATAGAAAAGATATTTTCATGCAGTCATGCATGAAAACTAATCCAGTGAAAATGTCACCAAAATAAGCAGGAAGAGTTACTCTAAAAGTGCATATGAAAATATCTTATTATTTTGCTAGAGAATAAAACCATGGCCAATTTTAAAAGTGTATATAGGGTTTTTTTACTCGCACTTGTATTTAAATTTGGTGGGTTTTTTGGGCAGTTTGAAGGATGTAAGCCTTCAGAGAATCATAGGCTTCGAAACTGTCAAAATAGATGAAAAGAGTGAACAAAAATAGAAGTAAATGGTGCACGCTTTCGGCCATTGCACATCTCCTCGACTGTGTGTTGCTCCAAACGATCGAGAAGGTGTGCAATGACATCAGGGGTGATCCTGCATTCCTTCAGAAGCTTTGGGCAGCAGCACGCGCCTTCCGCCACCGTCTCCAGCGCTGTACCGACATTCTGAAAGTGAGTTTTTGTGTTTAGTATGGCGTTTAAATCTCACCAGGGTGACCGTAAGGCCAGAGCCAAATTCTGCTAAATACACATCCAAAATCTGTCAGATTTATCAAAAATCTGCCAAATTCCCCAGAATTACTCGACATACACTATTAACACAAAAAAATCACATGCAGATTGGTACTTTTTCCTTAATTAAGGTTCAAATTACATTATAAACAATCTATAGTCTCATAAAGATGATGTGAAATTATCGCGTAAATTTACGGCAAAACACGGATCCGGCCACAACGATCGTGTGTTGCGCCTAAAGATCGAGGTGTGCAATGACATCAGGGGTGATCCTGCATTCCTTCAGAAGCTTTGGGCCGCAGCACGCGCCTTCCGCCACCGTCTCCAGCGCTGTATCGACATTCTGAAAGTGAATTTTTTTAGCATGGCGTTTAAATCTCACCCTCTTGCACAAAGCTGATGAAATTCGCTCCATAAAATGTGTCATGCCATTATCTGAAATCGAGGTTTAATTCTATTAGTAAATAACAGTCATTTTAGTTAGGATCAAATTTATGATATTTTTTGACGCGCAGGTAGCTGTTTACTTTATTTGAACTTTAAATCTCACCCTCTTGCACAAAGGTGATGAAACTCGCTCTATAAACTTTGTCATGCCATGATCTGAAATTGCGGCTTAATTCTATTGGTAAACAACGGAGTTAGTTGGGATGAAATTCACGATATTTTTGGACACGTAGTTAGCTGTTTACTTTATGTGAACTTAGTTGCTGCCTCGGCCAATGGAGGTTTATACCTAGCAGACATGGTCTAACGTTTTGAATTGCATTTCTTGTGCTACACATGGCTACTCAAAAATAGAATCAGTATCGGTAGACTTCAATATGGAGTTTGACGGAGCCTCTGACGTCCTTGGAGTTTATGAAACATATGCTTAGGCCTATAAAAGTTTATGCTTTTATCTTTGCTTCGGCATAATAAAATGCTGCTGTCAGCTAACAAAAGCTAGATATGAAACATATGCTTAGGCCTATCTATAAATAATTGTTTTATGCTTTTTATCTTTGCTTCGGCATAATAAAATTCTGCTGTCAGCTACCAAAAGCTAGACTTGGCTAGACTGTACAAAATATATTTTTTGTTTTTGCATTAAGATGTGAGAGGAAAATTGGTGAGGTATGATTTCAATCAATTAAGACGGGAAAAGAAATAAGATAATAGATTAGAATGTTGGTGAATGTTTTGTGTGATTTCATACAAAACTAGCCTTCCGATGTGATCCCAAGAAGATCTATTTTTGAAAATTGAACGTACCCTAGATGGAAAGGACTTATACTGTACCCCAAGTAAGAGTAGTCTGTCTTTATTTGTAACGCCTCATTGGGTATTCTGCTTTTTGTTTCTAGAGATATCTGATTAATTAAACAAAATCAAAATCAAATGTCACAGTTTAAGAATATCATATGAGCAAAGTCAGTAATAGTAAAATATTTCATTTGGAATAGTTTGTATCTAAAGTAACGGTACACCCATGATTCTGTCCTTAGTTCAGAATAGAATTTTCTTATCCCCAAGCAGAGAAAAAAAACCTAGTAATTATTAATTTTCGATGAACATATGTTGCATAAACGCCACGAGAGACCCATCAAGGGCAGTCAAGCGAATCTTTTTCAACAAGTACAATGATTTTCTGTCAAGCTACTAGTCCCTGGGATAGGGCCATTTAATCCCAAAATTTTCTGATTAATCTTAATATTTTTTTTCTGTTGAAGGGTACCTTGGGACATTCAAAAATGGTGCTCTTAAGTTGCACGGCCGGTATTTTTGCCTTCCAGCTCCAAAAAACTGATATTTTGGGAGCTTAGTTTTTGAGAAACGGCTAAAATCCTATTTTGGGCCTCTGCTCTCTCAAAAATGGTCCCGTCGTAACCTTTTTACACTTTTTACCATCCCAAACAAGAAAAAATATGGTAAGTCCCAAGTTTATCCATATTCGTGTTCCCAGAGCATATATTGCTTTGCGGACACCCCCTCCCCCCCCCCCCCCCCAAATCCTGTGACTTGCCCTCTTTGGGGACATAAATGAATTTAAAACTCACACTTATTCCAAAGATACACACTTTCTTTATAATTTAAAAACTGCCTGAGACCATAAGCTTTAATTTAAGTGGTAGATAAGCTTTCTGTCTTGCAAATTCGGCTCGCCAAGGCCATTTTTGCTTCCCCTACCCCTAAATCACTCAAAACGGCCATAAAGTGGGTGGCATGGCAAACCTATTGTGCATTTTATGCTGCCAAATGTGGTACAGAGATAGACCAATATCATATCAACAAATGTGGATATTGGACCATCACAGATCTGGCCCTTGACGGCCGTGGGAGCCATCATTTTAAAAGTGCTGAGTCATGCTGAGTCAGCACTATTTTGTAATGCGTTTTCTCGTGCAATATGGAGGCTAACATGTTTGTCTGCCTTTTTCTACACGCTTGGGTGTGAAACAGGCATAAACAATGGATTTTCTTTCAATCCCTCATTGAAAAAAAAAAAATTAATAATGCCTGCCAGCTGATGTCAGGCCTGGCTACACCTGCAAGAATTGTACTGCACTGTAATGTAGAATACAGATGTATATATTCAGGTAGACCTACACAAAGTTAGTTGGGAATTCAAGTTCTGACTAGCCAAAAATGACGTTTACAGACATGCTTGTGAAATGCAGCGATGATGATTTATAGGTGTCGAAGGACAAGGTGGTTACAAGTTGGGGGCAGGGGGCGGGGTTTGACCTATCAACAATATCTATGCATATCGAATTCCAAGTACATGTGTATTTGTGGTATATTATGTGCAAATGGGTGGAAATATGTCATGGGAACACAACTAGGGAAAATAGCACATGTAGGAAAAATGCACATTTGCTAAAAGAATAGGCCTATATATAAGCACTGGGATATTTTTTTCGGGGGGGGGGGGGCCGAACATGAACCCGCCTCCCCCACGATCCTCCCTCCCCCGGGGACATGCCCCACATTCCCGATCATGTTCAATCTGTCCATAGAAAAATGGATTTGTTTGTACACGTATTTCATTATTACACGTTTTTTTGTACAGCCCGGGCATGTTAATCATACGGGTCCAACTTAACGAAGTCTTATATAGCTACAGAAACTTTTAGAAATTGCTTCCACACAACAAAATAAGCAAAATAATGCAAATAAATTACAGACATGACATTTCTGTTGGTTTGGGAAAAACGGATGACAAAAAGTGGCTTAGTGGGGGCGAGCCCTCAAAACTGACCTCCCCCTTAGGCGGATTAAAGGGGGAGGAGCGGGTGGGGGAGGGGGGGAACGGGGCCATGCCACTCTTTCTTTTTTAGTAACGTCGCTAAAAAGGCAGCTGTTGCATACACCACCCACAAAACTCAACAAAAACAATAAATGTGCACCCCTCCCGATGCTTTTCTATATTAAATTTGGGGCGGAAATTTTTTGACACATTTTTTCTTCAACTAAATCCCCCCCCCCAAAAAAAAAAAAATGTGTTTAATGTGGAAAGCAAGGGGAGGGGGTACAGATTTATTGTTTTTGTTGAGTTTTGTGAAAGTGAGTTTTTTTAGCATGGCGTTAAAATCTCACCCTCTTGCACAAAGCTGATGAAATTCACTCCATAAAATGTGTCATGCCATTATCTGAAATCGAGGTTTACTTCTATAAGTAAATAACAGTCATTTTAGTTAGGATCAAATTTATGATATTTTTTGACGCGAAGGTAGCTGTTTACTTTATTTCAACTTTAAATCTCACCCTCTTGCACAAAGCTGATGAAACTGGCTCTATAAACTTTGGCATGCCATGATCTGAAATTGCGGCTTAATTCTATTGGTAAACAACGGAGTTAGTTGGGATGAAATTCACGATATTTTTGGACACGTAGTTAGCTGTTTACTTTATTTGAACTTAGTTACTGCCTCGGCCAATGGAGGTTTATACATGGCAGACGTGGTCTAACGTTTTGAATTGCATTTCTTGTGCTGCACATGGCTACTCAAAAATAGAATCAGAATCGGTAGACTTCTATATGGAGTTTGACGGAGCCTCTGACGTCCTTGAAGTTTATGAAACCTAGGCTTAGGCCTATACAAGTTTATGCTTTTATCTTTGCTTCGGCATAATAAAATGCGGCTGTCATCTA